CTAATAACCAAAGTTCCTCTAAAGACCTTACTCTGCTCACAAATTTGTCACTCAAATAGCTTTGCAGGTGGATAAAGACTTCTGGGGCCAAAGCCCATCCCCACGCTTCCCTGGTTATGTTAGGAGCTTGTGGGGTGGCCTAGAGAAGCCTAGCCACAGGCTGGATTGACGGGGATCAGTTGAGCAGAGCCTGGGCCTCCATTACCAGTGAAAGGGTAAGAAACCAGTCCAGGCTGACAGAGGAAAAGTCAGCCCTATTCTCTGTCACTCATCAGACTGCCAGAGCAGACACGGATAAAGCTGCAAAGTTAACAGGAAGCTATCCTCCCAAGGTCACCGCCGCAGCCTACAGTATCATAATCACTCATGCCTTTGAGTGACTGCTGCTTTCTTTTCAGTGACAGCCCCAGCCTTGCATTTTACTCCTGCCACCTGAACCAAAATCACTGTCACCCTTTGTGACTAAAATCTTGGGCTGCCAGAATTTTGCAGTCTGCAATCCTATCAGTAAGAAAGAAACTTTCCACTCTTGCTTGGAAAACCTGAGCTGCATGAGTCACTCTGACACAGAGAAGCAGCTGCAGCTTCTACCCTAGATTCAGAAATCCTGATAGGGATTTTCAGGCCCAACAGTCCATGCTTTTCCTTAACTTTGCAGTTCAAGGGATCAGGACCTGACTCTACTTCCCAGTCTGGGCTTGATCTTGACCCCTTTATACACAGCCTGCTTTGCTTTGAGCCTGTCCCCATGATGCTTCTTTCATATTCTACCTACACTTCCACCCCTCCCCAAGTCCTCCCATAATCTTGTCTTTCTTGGTTTGATGAGATGCCCCTCATCAAACCACTGTACCTCTGGTGTTTGGTCTCCCTGCTACAAGTCAGTAAACCTAATCTTGTTGGTCCACAAAGCTTGTTGATTCATCCCCAGTGCTATTCATCAAATGGGCTAACGTGCTGCGGAGTTGGAGAACCTCTGCTCTTTTTCACTGGTTTGTGGTAGAGGCTATGGTCCAAACTGCTGTTGAACGTGAGCTCTTGTTACCAGCCTCAAAGGGGGAAGAAGAAAACCCCAGGTCCCAAAGAGGTGAGTGATTTGGCCTGAGTCATCAAATAATGACAGACAAAACCCAGCCCTCCCTAAAGAGTTTCTGGGTGTCAGAAATTTTAACCATATTATCACTAAGATTCAACACAACCCTGAAATAACCCGGTATAAAGATGAGAAAAACAGAAAAGTTAAGCAAATTTTGCAGGATAATTAAACAGGGAGTTGGTGAAGTCAGGCTTCAAACCCAGATAGGTGAACCCAGTCCTCTCTTTTTGTCACAAAAGCAAACTACACCACCTCTTTCACAACCTATGGCTCCCTAGGAAAGTCAACTTCTTTTGAGTAGATCTCTTGGAATCAGCCAAGAGCTTTCTAGGTGTGAAGAGTCTTCCTAAATGTTCGCCCCAAAGGCTCAGCACATATTCCTGCCAAAGGAAAAGCAAAACCAGAGACAGCCACTGTGGTAGACACTGTGTGTACCCAGCACCCATTTACCCCTTACCTGCTCCCCATGATATAGACCAATAGCCACCCCTTCCTTACACAGCAGATGTGCTTCTGGAGAATCCCCAGGGATGGGCAAGGAGTCATCTTATACCTTTTGCCTCCATGGTTTCAGAAGCCCAGCTATAATCCAATTAGCAGGTGGCATTCTCCTGACAATAACAAATGATTGGGCATGTGACTTCAAATAGACAATGATGTTCAAGGTAAGACTTGGGGAGAGCTTCTGGAAAAAAAAATTTGAGACGTTATCTCAAATAGAATAGAATAGATGTTACCTCTTCCTCTGGATATTGTAGGGTACAGACATAAGCCTGAAACTGCAATAGGCAGCTTGTGACTACTCAAGGATCAAACTAACAGGAGATAGGACAGCTCAAGAGAGAAATGGAGTGGGAACCTTGATTGAACCATGCCTGATCTCCACTCTGCCAATGGAATTCTTAAGTTATATAAGCCAATAAATTCCACCCTGTGGTTTATATTTAAGTTGGATTTTCTACTGCCTACCAACAAAAGCATCTAAACCGACATACCCTTTTTTGGTGACTGAGCTGCAGCTCTGAAGACCCAGAGATAGTCTCAGCCACTCCACGTTGACAGCCTCAGGAGCAGGTGAGGATATCCGTCACACTCCTAGGCATCCCCTGTCACCACTGGAGGACAGAGTCCCCACCCACAAGCTGTTAGGGCTGGAAGAAAATTCAATCCTTATGTATAGTTTCTTCCAGGTAAGGAGATGGAGTCTGTGAGAAGTGACAAACCGAGTCAGAGCCCTAGTGGCAGGACTCCCAGTACAGTGCTCTTCCCTCCCCACTGTGGCACCTCAGCTCTCCACAGAGCCAGCAAATGCTCTCAGGAGACATTCGGCTACCTGTTCTGTGGCCACCTGGCCTGCTTACAGGTGCCCCTGTAAGGGCAGCATGTGGTGTCATGAGTGCTGGTTGTTATATAAGACCGATGAATCACTGACCCCTACCTCTGAAACCAATACACTATATAGAAATGAACTGAATTAAAGTTAAAAAAAATGACAGTGCCACAGGGGGAGGATTATATTATTACAAATATACTTTGAACATGTGGCTTTAAATCCTTTCATTTTCAGAGCCGTTCAGAAACCCTTTGCAATAGTCAGAGACAGGCCCACCTCTAAATATTGTGGGATCTGGTTACAAGATACCACATATCTAAGTACTTACGTTAGAATCTAACAAACTATTACCAAATATGTCTCTCTGCTTACTTGACAGTCCACTTTTATAAGACCTGGAAGGCTGGGTTTGATTCTGGAATATTTAGATTCCTCAAAGCTCCGTGGTGGCACAAGGAAGGCAAGGACCAGCCCACACAGAGTGGGGCTTCATGTGTGTCTGTGTGGAAATCCCAGCCTGCGTATCCAAGCCCCATCTATAACCCCTAAACACAGCTTGTCCCTGGCCACCCAGGTGTGTGCAGGTCACACTCAGACATGCAGAAGAGGGCTGCTCAGGTTCAGGACCACCTGGCTGGGAGCCGTGGTCTCCCGGGTACCTGGATCATGGTCTGGGAGAGGGGTGCACAAGCTCCAGTGGGCGGGTCACCTTGGCCTCATAGACTTCCTGCCCTCTGGGGAGGGTCATGGCCAGAGGAGGGCCAGACTGGTGCCCTTCATGGCAAGGGACCCAGGACAGGGCCTCTCGTGTCCAGGTCCAACTAAGGGCAGTGTTGGAGCTCCATCCGGTTTTAAATGTGGTCCTAAAATAAGGCTGGAGTGGTGCTGGGTTATCAAGACCAGGCTTTGCGGCCTTAGGTAAGTCCCTCTATAACTCTCAACATCTGTTTCCTCCCTTGTCCCTAAGGGGGTAGTATTGCTCCACATCCTGGAACCCTTTGCAAAGCCTGGGTGGCAGTGAATTCAGACCCCTCATTCCAAACAGAAGAGAGAGCCACACTGGGGAAACGAACTGCTTGTATTTCTTGATTTCCCATCCAGAGATCCCAGCATGAAGGTGTAGCTTTACATCCCCATGGTGTGCAGTAGAGGCTGAGGGAACTGGGCTGACCAGTGTGCCCCACCTGGGGCTGATCCCATCTACTGCAGACCACTAGTGACAGCCTGCTGGGCCAGAAGCCCCTGCCTACTGAGTCCCCAGGACTCAGGCGCACTAAATAGCTTCGTACAAAAGCCCCGAGGTGTCCCTCCATTTAGTAACAAATAGACAAATCCCACTTGAGGTCTGCCGTGGGGGAGACACCTTTCCAAAACAAAGCTAAGCCCCACTCAGGAAAGTTGGTGGTACAAGGCCGCTCACCAAAAGCCTGGTGAATGAGCCTGCAGAATCGTGGAGGGCTCAGGCACACAGACACAAGGGCAAGACTATGCACTACAGAGACACAAAGGGAAGGTCCCAGGATGCACACAGGAGTCAGCAGGCAGCCAGGAGCTGGAGCTCAGAACAGAAATGGTCTCTGCCTGGGACAGGCACTCAGTCAGAGGCCCTCCCATGGGGGAAACCCAGAGGTGTGCTTTCCTAAGGACTGGAAACACCAAAAGCCAGGTATAGACTTTGGCGGTCACCTTCTGGTAGTCAATCTCCTGAACAAGAAACGGACATAAGGGGCATTCACAAGACAGAGGTCAAGGGCGCAGAGAGCCACGAGGTCAATATGGCACTGGGGATAGTGAAACCACAAGAGCTACCCCTTTGGGAGACACTGAGAAGGAGAAGGCCATTGTTCCACTATTGTTCATGTGCTGAGCACCCCAGCTGGGCCTCTACCCTCTCCCAGGGCCAGAGCACCATTTTGGTGGCTTTCTCAGGACGTTTTCACAGTTGGGTCTCTTCTTGGGGAAGCTGTATCCACACAAGGCTGTGCTGGGCTGTAGCCGGTTGAGGGGTTCCTCAGTGGGTCCGAGCCGAGAGCCATTTCGAGAGAACAGACCCACCTCCCCACTTCATGGTTCACGGGCCTGGAGACACCTGACGGCCGGCTGCCCTTGGTGAGAAGGCCCATGTTTCCAGAGGTCAGAAGAGCGTAGAGGCCTGTATACCAGATGCCCCAAGTGGGATAAGAACAAATTCGAAAGGCCCGGCAGGTCTAGGCAGGGCTAACAGTTCTAAGCCAAGTCCATGGTCTGGGTCAGTAACATTCCAGAAGAGAAAGGGCACTGTAGGTTTGGCTATTGGGCAGGATGGTAGCAAGGGGGAACAGTTCCCAGGTCGGGCATGTGGAAGGTTTTCTGGGACTTTGGATTAAGACAGGATGCAGTAGTCCTAAATTCTTCCAGTTGGACTGAGTTACAAGCATGTCTTATCATCAAGAGTTTGTCCTTGTTTTTGTCACACGAAGGTGGTGGAAACTGGACCGGGATGGTGTGAAGTCAGTTTGCCCAGGGGGGAGGAGCTGCTGCCGGTGATGTAGGACACAGCCCTCCTCCTCCTCCTCCTCTTCCTCCAGGCCCTCAGGTGAAGTAGCGGCAGGATGTGGAGTCGATGTAGCAGTACGGGGTGCACTGCAGGTCTCCATACGACCTGAGGGGGGCAGACAGGGGTCAGGGCGCACACGCGCCAGTGGGCAGGAGAGCTCCTGCCCAGCCCTCATGAGCATGCCAGGTTCTGAAAGGCCACCTCTGGTGACTTTCGGTCAAAGCTCATCAGACAGCAGCCACAGCTGCTACCTTTTCTAAGGGTTCCAGAGAGACTGTTCTCATTCTCGTTTGGGGTGAGAGGCTTGGGGCAGTCAAGTCCACGCCTCGGGGGCTTTTGCCCAGAAGCCCAGCTGAGGGATCTGAGTGGAAAGAGTTGGTAACCTTGTTCTTAACACAGCATCTCTGAGAGAATCACTCCCTTCTCAAGACCTGGAAGGTTTCCAGTGCTGTCCATTAGATCATACTGTAGTGATGCAAATGTTCCATTTCTGTGCAGTCCAATATGGTAGCAACTAGCCATATGTGGCTATTGAGCTCTTAAAATAAGATTGGTATGACTGAATAATTAGATTTTTAATTTTATTTAATTTTAATTAATTTAAATTTAAATAGCAACATGTGGCTGGGGGCCGCCATATTGGACAGTAGTTTATACTTCCATTAGCCAAACTGCTAACCCTGAGACCATGTGTTATACATTATACCATATTCACAAGCGTTCTCTGAGGCATCTAGAAATTAGATGAGTAATCACAGCAAGCCAGTGGGTAAGCCCTGGGCTCTATACAATCCTGAATTCCATGTCCAAATGTCTATATTGAGTTGTCTCCATGAAGCCATCAACCAACCAGCTCAAACCTGCCAATGCTCTGTCAGGTAAGGAGTCCTTCATACTTTGGAGATGTATGTTGGGAGCCCTCCATACTTTGGAGATAGGGAAGTACATAAAGATATAGGAGGGGGTCCTGGCCAAGCCTAAAGTGCTTGTTTTGGGGTGACTATAGGTCTGTAGTTCTCCCAGCCTGGCTTGATATGTTAGTGTGTGTTTGGGGAGCGGATTGAGGAGACCTCCTTGGAAGAGAGAGCAGAGAGAAGGTGACAGAACAACAGGCCTGGTGTCTGTTTCTCAGCTCTTGGCCTGGGTCCAAGGAACAGGGCTGAAAAGGAATGCTAAAGAGACTGGACTCCTGAGGGACTTAGAAGGTGTGAGGGGGCAGTGATCCACTCTGGAGCCAAGGGAGAAGCAGGAACTGAGGGAGGAACAGTCTTCCCATTTCCCTTAGAATGCTATACAATTCTGATGTTGTAAGGATTAAGGGGAATGTGGTACCATTTTGCATTTCTTAGGAGCAGTGGCCAATGACTCTCAGTTGACTTCGGGGACATCAACGTGGAGGTCAAGACACTAGAATACTTGTTCTGAGCAATGTGAACACCCACCGGAGAGTCCCAGATATAACTAGAGAGGTCCTTGAAGGAGACACTAAGTTCCTGGGGTTTTCCTGAAGGAGCCATGAGCCAGCAAAATTAGATATTAATGCTGGTGTGATCTCATTTGCACCCACAGCCTCAGGGGTCAGGGGCTGTCCAAGAGAATTCAGGTTATACAGATGATTAGATTCTTGGGAATGGCCTGGTCTCTCCAGCCTCCACTGGGCTTCCTCTAGACCCACTCTCCAGAAGACTAATGTGGTCATGGTAGCCACTGGGGATGGGAGCTTTTTTCCTGGGGGCAACTGCTGAAATAGGGGGTCCCCAGGGGCCCAGGACAGAGCTGGTCACCGTCTCAGCTCAGCCGTGGTGGCACTCAAACACTCTGGGAGGACACGTGGTGGTTATGTGTTTATGGCCTGACTCCCCTAGGTGAGCAGGGACCACATGTTAGCTGTCACCATACCTCAGTGTTTAGAAAGTACAAGGAACATAAGCACTAAAAAAATCTTTGTGAAGGAAAGAAGAGGAGGCAGGCAGAGAGGGAGACAGGGTGTAATAATAGCACGTGAGGCGATCCCTACCCAGGAAGATAGGTCTCACACGTCAGGTAGCCAAAGTCAGAGCCGTCACAGTCCTCCACGCCCTTGTGCTGGTGACCATCTCCACAGTAGGCCCGGTGACAGCCTGAGGGACACAAGGAAGTAGCCCTGAGAGGGGCCAGGGTGGGACAGGCTTACCTCAACCTGTAAGGACTGTGTGGCTTGAAGGGTCCGTGCAGAGTACGTGCTCTCTTGAATGGACTTCCATGAAGCTTTAGTGCATCCATGGACTGCCCCTCATACCCCCAAATCCCACACCAGAGAATAAGGAGACCCAGGCTCCAGTCCACTCCAGCGACTCATTAGCCAACAGACAGAGAACAGGCCACTGGGCTTCTCTGAGCCTCCATATCCCTACCTCAAGCCTGCAGTGAGGACACTACCTCCTTCAATGGGGTCTCTGTTCTCACGCAAGGGAAGCATCTTGGAGTCCAAGCCCCACTCCCATTTTACAGGGCTTTGAGACCCCATCAGTTCCTTCTTGCTGTGTGATCTATCAGACAGTATCTGCGCCAGGGGCAGAAGGGACTCCAGGCAAAGCCGGCATGCCAGGGAGGACCATCCCGGCGACTCTCATGGGAAGTACAGCTCCACCGAGAGGGCGCCAGTTGCCTCTCCGCCCCACATCCATCCCTGTGCACACCGTCCTCACTATGCCACCCCATCAGCCTTCCCTGAGCAAGGAAGGAGACTTTGCATTTACACATCCCCAGCCCTGAGCTGGGGCCTGGCTCCGCACAGCAGGGGCTGGAAAATACTTCAGTGGAGGGATGTTGAACCCTTACTCTACCTGGATGATCCAGTGCACATTAGCGCACAGAATTTCTGAAAACCTGAGCAGTCATACCCATTTTTTGGTTGAGGAAAGCGACAGCTGGAGCTGTGAACCACCTTCTATGTCCCCTGCTCACTGGGTAGCCTCCTCTCTGAGCATCCCAACTCTGTTCTGTCTCACTGTAAATCTCCTGCTTTCTATCTCCCCTCCTGCTTTTGTTGTGTGACTGGAAATAGAAGAAAAGCAAACCCTCCAGGGCTATGCCACCCACCTGTCCCGGTAGCATCCCATCAGCCTGAAGGCAGCTGCCCTGAAAAGGGGCTCTGCCACTACAGCTCCATCTGGTAACACCACCCGATTCAAATTCTTGGCTTCTCCCTTTAGTCCTTCGCTCTGCATCACCTTTATCTTTTGATAAACAATGTGGACTGGAATGTGGGTTTTGTCCAGAAGTAGGATTCAGGAAAAGGGAGCAACTGGTGGCTTCTCTGGGGGCAAGGTCCTTGACACTAACCCCCACTGACATGCTTGGGCAGTGGAAGTCCACATGTGGCCTGAATGGGGGGGGATGTTGTCCCCACAGCAGCCCAGGTGTTCCCCCTCTGGCTCTAGAACTGTCCAGGGGCTCGCTCTCAGCCTCTCCCCACCCGGTGGCACTCTGCTCTTCAGAACCCCCCAGATGGGCCCCACTCACTGATGCAGTCATCGTCCACATTGTTGTTCCCGTCGTCACACTCCTCCCCGGGTTGTAGGACCCCGTCCCCACAGGAGCCGCGGTGGTCTACAGTGTAGTCCACAGGGTAGAAAGGGGTCACCTGGCCAAAGAAACACATGACAGTGACCAGGGATGGCATGGTGAGAGCTGCAGGCAGGACGTCATTGGTACTGGGGCCAGAGGCTCTGGGTCTGTGGGGCCCTCCTCCTGGGGTGGGAAGAGGCACTCCTCTCCTGCTGCCCAGAGCTCTGCAGCTGACAGGAAAGTGGGACAGATCAAGACAGCAGCCTAGCAGTGAGGAGATCGAGCCCATCTGGAACCCTGGCTCAGAGAGGAGGTTCCATGTGGGGAGCAGGGACACAGAGAACTGCTCAGAAGCAGAGCAAGGGAGGTTGCCCAATCCTTCCATGGGAACAGACTGCAGAAAGCTCTGTGCCAGGCCCAACTGTTGGCCCTTCTTTCCTCTAATGCTGTGTGCCCTTTTGGGTTTGGCTATGTCCGGATTGTCTGCCTCAGGGTACCTGGATGGGGAGCCAGCCAAGGCTGTCCTTGAAGTACAGAGATCTCTGGTCTTTGCGGAAGGCAATGGCGTTTTGGGTGTTCAGCTTTTCAAGCTCCTCCTGGTTGTTGACTACAAAAATCTGCCAGAGAACACATTGGGGAGGATTTCAGAAAACACTCCTATAGGGGGCAGGGGGAAAGCTGGAGGAGGAAACAGAATCTCTATCCTTGGGCTGGTTAACAGCCTGGTTCCTCCCTGAAATAGGGAGGAAGGTCTTGATTCCCACATCTTCTCAATCCAGTTCCAGCTCCCTGAGTTTGCAATAAGACTATCCATGATTTGGGGCACGTGGGTGGCTCAGTGGGTTAAGCATCTGTCTTCAGCTCAGGTCATGATCTCTGGGTCCTGGGATCAAGCCTCACATCAGGGTCCCTGCTCAGTGGGGAACCTGCTTCTCTTTCTCTCCTTCTGACCCCCACACCCCACTGTACATTCTCTCTCAAATAAATAATATCTTTTTTTAAAAAAAAAAAGACTATCCATGACCTAAATTTTTAAACTTAAACACTTAAAATGCTTGTAAGACTTAAATAAAAAGGTAGTATCATCTAATTAAGTAATTCAACATCTGGAAATGATTCTTAATGAAATTGTTATACTTGAAGGTGTTCGTTACGGTTTTATTTACATTACTGAAAAGCTTGGGAGAGCCCTATAAGTATCCGAAAATAGGACGCTGGTTAAATAAATCACAGCACAGCTGCGTGTTGGATGGATGTTAATGCATCCACTCAAAAGATGAACTGATGTCCAGGGTTATCTCAAGATAACCCAAGGGAGGGTGGGCAGCAGTGAGTGGGTGTAAAGAGGAAACAGGAGTTGCCAGGAGTTGATAAATGTTGAAATTGGGTGAAGGGTACATAGAGGTTTATTACACTATTTGTTCCACTTTTGTATTTACTTAAAATTTTAAATATTTTTTTGTTCCTAAAAAAAGACAAAGAAAATACTCCAAAATGCACCTACAACCAAATGGACAATTTGGTTTCCTACTTTTGATTTTCCTTTATTTTCCGATCTCCTATAATGAGTATCTGTCAAGTATAATGGGGAAATCAATCTTATTAAAAGGCTCTTAAGAAGCTCTCAGAGGATCAGGTGAGAGGTCCTGAAGGATAACCAGCCCAGATTTGTCCCAGGAGCCTTACCACAGGAACGTGAGGCGAACTGGGCCCAAAGACGGATTCCCTATAGGAAGGGTTATTCACATTTGTAGGGGTTTCACAAAGACAGCTTCCTGGAGGCCCGGGAAATCCTCGGTCCCCTTTGGGTCCCATCACAAGTTGTCCTAGGAAGTAACAGATTGCTGAGTCACTTGAGTGAAGGAAGAAAAAACCAAATAGCCCAGGGAGGCCTGAACAAACTTCCCAACAGAAAGAAGGTCAAAGTCCACAGTATTTTAGGATAGGCCTCGGGGGAGAGGTTCAAAGAGACTCTTGTTCCAAGGTGTGGAGGAGGTGATGTTCTCTGTGGGTCCCTTAACCATGCTGGGTGTTGCAGCACCTTTCCCAAACGTCCCTCCCTTCACTTTCTCTATACTTCAGAAACAGGTAAGACATTCTACTTCCCTGACTACCTTGCATTCAAGGTCTGCGACGGGAGAAGGGTAGGCATCTGGGAAAGTCTATCCTGATACAGGAAAAACATTGCTGGTAAGAGACATAGTTTCCTTCTCATTCCTGTCTAGAAGACAGAGAAAATGTCTGGTGCTGCAGCAGCCATACTGCAACCATGAAGTAAAAAGTATGAGAAGAGAAACCACACACAGAAAAGACCCGTGGCTCATGGGACATGGGACCCTAACAGTGACCCTTAGAGGCTGAATGGACACCAGCCGTTGTCCACTTCTGGACTTCTTTGTTATGTGAGAAAAACAATCCCCTTTTTGTTTAGACTATTATTAACAGGGACTTCTTGCTGATGAACACATTGCTAATTGATAGCTCTTATTATTATTTTTATTCATTTTATTCTGTTCTTCTATGTAAGATCTTTATAAAGGAATTTCTGAAGGTGGGTTTCTTTGATTTTTTATGGAAGAAAATGGCATGTTTGAAAAGGCTCCACCTACTCATTGTCCCCTGGTACTGAGAAGAACGTCCTAAACATATATGATCAGAAAATTTACTCCCTGCAGTGTGGGTGGCCTGCTAGGGTAGAAGTTTTCACCCTGACTTTCAAAGGCCCTAATGCCCAGGCCAGAGCCTAGACTGATTCCATCAAGAATGCTGAGAATAGAATCCAGGCATCTGTGCTTTTAAAAGCTCTCAAGCTGATACCAACATACACTGAGGTTGAGAACTGCTGGTCTAAGGAAACAGTCTTTGCACAAGCCATTCCCCCACTAGATTGTTCTCTCTTCACCCTCTATGCCCCCCTCTCCAAGTGCCTCCTAACTTGCTCCTGACCTGGGTTGCAACATCACTTCCTCAGGGAAGGCTTCCGAATGCTCACACTCAGGCACGTTCACCTTGGATACAATTTCATAGCTCCCCATGCCTCTTCTTCACAGCACTTCTGTTTGTGACTTTTGTACCTTGTGAGATTATGTGACGAAGGGCAATCTCCCCCAGTAGAATGTAAGATCCACAAGGGCAAGGTTGGTGCCCATGTTCATTTACCACGACTGGACACACAGGAGGGGCAGGATACATGTTTGAAGACTGCCTCACTGGATGAACGAATGTAGACTAACTGGTCTTCAGAAAAGGCTAAAAGTCACCATCAGGTTGGCTGGAAAGAGCTAGAGCAAGAGCCATTCAACAGGAAGAGAGGAAAGAGAGGGAACTCCTGGAGACGGAGAAAGGACGTATGTCTCCTCCTGAGAAAGTAAGGGGGAGTCTGGAGACCAGGCAGTCATTGCTTTCAAGTTGTATAACTTCCAGCTATCCAACAACAGGCGACACGGTTGGCAGATCCCAGAAGGGCAGAAAATAAAACGACCCCAGGGGAGAGGTCCCGTCAAGGCTCCAAGGAAGCAGCTTCAGCTAGAGGATGAGACCCCAATGGGAATACTCTCCCCACAACCCTGAGCGTTCCAGAACAGATAGGTCCAAGATCAGAATAATGCCAGCAAGGGAGGAAGGGAGGCTTGCCAACATTTTATCCCAGGTTGTGGTAGTTTGTTTGAAAAAGAAACATGCATCCAATGCTGCAGGAGGAGCTCAGCACAGCCCGGAGAGACAGAGACCCCACCGGCCCAGGAATACTCTGAGTAGTCGTCACGTGTGGAAACCAAAGTGGGGATTTCTAGAATGCGGAGGATGTGAGAGTAGCACTGGAGCAGGCTCTGGGACCCCAACCGTTCCTCCAGATCCGTGGCCTCAGAGCAATTCAGGAATTCATCCCATTATCCAGCTAGTAAGTGGGAATGCTGAAATGTGAATTCATGTTCAACTTAACGCTATGCCATTCAAGAGACAAACATCCAAGAATATCGATGCCTGCAGGAAGCTGGCAATTCCCAGGTACCACAATGATTCACTTAGACCCTGTCTGGGTGCTGGGAGGACTCAGCCAAGTTTGTAATTCAGTTACTGCAAATTACATCCTAGACACATTTTGTGTCTAAATTCCCTCCCCTGCCTCCCAGCATCTCTTTCTCTATAACTTGGGTACTAAAGAGCTCCCGCCCTCTCCACCAGCCCCAGCACCGGCCTGCCCCCCAGCACTGGGCACCAGAACCAGAGCCAGCCTCCCAACAGGACAACAGGATGGGGCAGGGTGCCCGCTTCCTGCCACCACTGCAGTTTTCCTGCAGCTTCCTTTCAGCTGTTGGAGGGCATCTGTCACCCCTGCCTGCTGGTTTCCTGCCAGGAGGCACTGAAGGGCATGGCGACTCAAGCTTCCCCAGCCTGGCTTCTCAGAGTGGGCTGAGTGGGCCTGGCTGATCCATCATCCCTTGTAGCCATCATTGCCCTGAGAGCCTCCCATCACCATGGGCTGTGCAGTGGGAGTGGGCCTGAGACGGGAAATCTGGGAGAAAGAGGAGGCACCACAGAAACATCTCCATATCACCCCCAGGTCCCACTCTGCCTCTGCGGAGGCCACATGGCTGAATGGAAAGGTTTCAGGCCCAAGAGCCACAGACTGACTCTAGGCCACCAGTCACCTCTGTGACCTTGAGAAAGCCCCTCTTCTCTGAGGTTCAAAGTTCTTTTCTAGAAAGGGTGGTTTGGATAAGACCAGGGTTGTTTGACCTGTGGTCCACAGAGCCCAAGCATATCCCAAGATGGATTTGGGGCAGGGGTTCTAGAACTCTGTGAAGCAATGTACAGAATCTTGGATATAGATAGACAGATTTTGCTCCTGAGTGGGCTTGGGACTTTTATCAGCTTTCAAAGGTAGTCTCAGGAATCACTTTTGCGGCCTGAACCCATTCTTGATAATAATCCAACTGGCCCCACGCTTAGGAAAGTTCTCTTTTAAATTCCTCCTTCCTCTTCTTTCCCTACCCCAAAGAGCAGGATTATTGCCCCATTTTCTTCAGTCCCTTCACTAAGAGGATCCCCAGAAAGGAAGTGACTCAAAAGAAGGCACGGGAAGGGGACAGGAATCAGAAATGGACTGCATCAGGCGCCTGGGTGGCTCAGTGGGTTAAGCCGCTGCCTTCGGCTCAGGTCATGATCTCGGGGTCCTGGGATCGAGTCCCGTATCCCTTCCTCTCTCTCTGCCTGCCTCTCTGCCTACTTGTGATCTCTCTCTGTCAAATAAATAAATAAAATCTTAAAAAAAAAAAAAAAAAGAAATGGACTGCATCTGTCTTGACTGCCATGCAGTAATGTGGGGAGACAGACTGAGAACCCAAGTGGCCTGTGACCATAGACTGTCCATCCCACCTGCCCGGGACTGTGGTGATGCAAAGCCGCCTTGGCCACAGAAGTGGCCTCAAGGACCTGCCATCCAGCAGGAAGATGGAACTCCTCAGTTTTGTGAGCTGTTCGATACCCCAAGGGCCAAGAGAGTCCCTTCCGAAGACAAAACTCAGTCCTCACACCACGTTCGCAGTCCCTGGGCCTGGCAGCTCATGATCACGGGGTTTGAGGGGAACATGACATGTGCCAGAACCGAGGAGGACGAGGACAGTGATGGACACTTGAACAACATGGGCTTGAACTGCACAAGTCCACTTACACGCAGAGTTTTTATAGTACAGTCCCGTGGTTGCATTTTCTCTTCCTTATGATTTTCCTCCTAACATTTTTTCCCTCCAGCTTACTTTCTTGTAAGAGTACAGTACATGACATATAGAACTGACAAAGTATGCGTTAATTGACTCTTTGATATCCATAAGGCTCCCAGTCAACAGCAGACTAGTAGTCGTTAAGTTTTGGGGGAGTCACAAGTTATACATGGATTTTCGACTGACTGGGATCAGCGCCCCTAAACTCCACATTATTCAAGGGTCAACCGTAGTTGGAAGGACCCTCATAAGGATCATCCAGTCAATTCACAGAAACAGATTATGTGGCATGGACACCTGGGCCGGGTGTCGTCTCCACCTGTTTCCCCTAAGGAATAGAAACAGGTGTGATAAGACACCTTATTGTTATACCAATTGATGTTTGTTTTCCCACTACTTTTTCCTCTCCTGATTTCAAAGAGGTAGCAAGACTTTGTGCTTTCTTGCCCTTGGTGAAAACAAATATGATGTGAAGACTGTACCTTTCTGCCCTCTGTTCTCAGAAGAGAAAAGCTCCTAATTGGGGTAGCAGTATAGGAGGAGTGTGACAAGCCAGGGGGCTGGAGGGTGGAAGGGGGGAGATCACCCCAGACATGGAGTGACAGGGACCCCAGACATGGAGTGACGGGGACCCCCTGCATCCTGGTGAAGAGGTAAGTTCTCAGAAGGAATGGTTGTGGGACCAGTCTTGGAAATGTTTTGACACCCAAGCATGGCATGAAGATGGCAGCCACCAGGCCCCCTTGGACCATGTGCCCTTGGAGAGCAGGCCTTTCAGAGGTGAACAGGGCAGATCAAAGGCTGGAGGGAAAACCTCTGAGGTTTGTCTGCCATAATCCCCAGACTCTTTGCCCAACTCTTTTTTTGGCAGCTGAAGGAGTGTAGAGAACCCCAATAATGCCTGAGATTGCATTTTCCTGGCAACCCAGCAGGTTAGAATCTCAGAGCCAGCTTTAATTTGGTTTAAAAGATCTAACAAGTTATGACATTTCTTGACCATCCCATGACAGGGCTGTGAATATATTCCTATAAACACAGGAAGGAAAAGTGAAATGTAGAATTTTAAAATGCCTTTGTTTTCTTAAGAAAAAAAAAAAGGTAATAAAAATTGCTTGGATTCCTTTCATACAACAGAGGACAAAGGACCCTATGGAGTGAACAGTCTTCTCAGGCCCAGTGATGCTGTGTTTATACAGACAATGTGCCATGAAAGGTCGTATGTGGAGCTGATGAAGGCACAAACTAATTAAAGGGTTTAGCTCATCAAATTAAACAAGGCAAACAAGGTAGCAGTGCTACTATGCCCTCTTCAATGGTAGACTTTGATTTCTTTTTATGATTTCTTTGTGTGTTCAGAATAAACTAACAAGTACTCTTTGATAAAACTACATAAGATAGAAGCTCTGCCACACCACATTTACTTCTAGGTTTAAGAGAACTGCTTGGAGTTGTGGAAGGTTTTTCTAGAAAAAGAAATTAGTTGATGAAATACGTGCCGGTTATTTTTCACATGAAGTATAAATGACATCACCAGTGTAAACATGGCTCCCTCTGCTTTCTCCTCTATTAGTTCTCTAAAATCCTACAACAGAATGAGGATGGTATTTACCTCTCTTGTGCTGAAGTAGAAAGAGTCAAACTGGAGAAATTCTGAATATATTAAAGTGCCTCTAGTAGTTTCTAATTCAAAACACTAGACAGACCTCTGCAGGCATCTCCTTGTGCCCTCTCTGGGGAGGCTGGCCAGGAGGGTGACACTGTAGATCACGTGAAGCAGAGTAGCTCTTACCTGCGGATGGGGGGCCCGGGGGGCCTGGGGGACCTGGACGGCCAGGTTGACCAGAAGGCCCAGGCTTGCCTGGTGGGCCCATTACTCCACTATCTCCCTTCTGCCCCTGACAGAGAGAAAGGCAGAGCCTGTTATGATAACATGACATGGCAAACTTCCTTCCCCATTTATGCCTAAATCAGAGACCACCTTGCATTTTGGAGCAGGAGCCCAGGGCAGGATGCTCCTGAGGCCTTGACCATCAAGCTCCTAAAAAGCTCAAGGCAGGGGCACTTGACTGAGTCAGTCAGTGGGGTATAGGACTCTTGATCTCAGGGTCATGGGTTCAAAGCCCTATGTACTTTGGCTGTGGAGCCTATTTAAAAAAAAAAAAAAAAGAGCTCAGGGCAAGTGACATTTGAGATTGTGATGGTTACAAGTTTACAGACATTACTTCTTGCTATCTCCAGGAAACACATGGCACATGCCTGCTGAAAGGAACCAATCCAACCCTCTCCCCTCACCAGACAGAGGAGGAAACAGAGGCTCAGGAAAGAGCAGAGATTCACACAAGGCACCCAGCACTGAGGCAACAGACTTGTTGCCTAGGACTCAGGCCTCTGCTTCCTCGTCAAGACCCTTTCTATTTTACCACAAGAGCCGTTTCCATCAAATGAGTGGCTCCCACTTGCTCTCAGGATAAAGACCCAGATCCTTATTTCAGCCTACAAAGTGCTGCATGGCTGGCCTTTCCAGTCTTCTGGTGTTTTTGGTCTTCAAGAGCACAACTTGCCTTTTACTTTGCTCCTCCCTGCCCAAACTCCCTTTCCACGCCTCTGCCTGGTTAACTCCCTCCCAGCCATTAGCTCTCAGGTAAAGTGTCACTGCAGCACAGCCTTCTGGACCTTGCTAGACTCTGCCAGACCAAGTGAGTTCTCCTTGTCACAGGCTCTCAGAACTAGGCCCCCTTCCTCCCCGGCCTTTACCCAAATCAGAAACACACCATTATGTGTGCGGTCCTTTCATTGATGTCTCTGTCTGAGACATAGGCTCCCTGTGGACCAGAATTTGTCTTGTTCCCCAGACTAAATGGAGGAGGAGGAAGATGCTGACAACACAGAGGAGACGTAGTTCTGCTGAGCTGGAAGTCAGGAGACCTGGGTTTTCATGTTGCCCATGAGACCCTGGGTCATGCAAGTCATGCAAGTCAGTTTTTCTCATTTATAAAATGGGGCCATTACATTAAACACACACATTTGTTGTGAAAGTAATAAAGCTCCTAGAGGTGAAAAAGTAGTTTGTGCAGAAGCAAGGGCTGGGGGTGGGGTCAAGCTATGATTGATAGCAACTGGCTTGGTTTCGTCTTTTTCACGTGATTGGAAAAGATCTGATTTCTAAAAGAGAGCCATACCTGGAGCTGTAGCCATTCCACACAGGATGTCTACCTTGATGCCTGTTCTGAGAGGCTCAAGAGCAAATCTTTCCTCCTTAGGGCTGCTCTGAGGAATGACCCCAGAAACCAAGGTCTGTAGATGATTTGCTAATTGTCTGCTCTTGCGCTGGGCCTAAACAGGACAGTGATTAATGCACGACATCTTTGACCTGGATCCCCTTTCGACACTTGTGCCTTGGCAGGCCTGCCCATGTAATGAAACATAATCTTCCCCAAGTCTGGGAAGCAGGGGGGCAGGGCACTCCTTTCCAATCACAACAGTGACGCATGACCTGCCGCTTTGTCAATGTGGCTCTGCGGTCTCTCCTGGCAATGTCCAAGGGGTTCTGAAATTCTTATTTATTTATGTATGTACGCATTTATTTATTTTTAGGAGTTCTAAAATTTTTAATATGGGACCTGTGACATCAGAGTTTATTTCCAATTCCATCCTGATGGAGGGTGCTCATGGTAACTAAGATGGGTCCCAGAATAGCAAAGGAGGTCACATCATCTTAATATAGCCACAGTTAAGTCTTGTTTTTCTAAAAACCACATCAGCTGACTAGAGTACAGGAAGTGCCTCAGCTTGAAGGAGCTGGAAGCACTCCTTGATTCTGACACCAAACAATGATGGAATATTCTGTATATCAGAATAAGCCATGTCCCTATGAGCAAGACTCACCGAGCAGTGCTTTCCAGGAAAGGCATTCTTCTTTATTCCTTTCCTACCACAAAGCTTGGTGATGCCTCTCAAGGAAGTTGTTCTTATGAATATTATTATAAATCTTCACTGAAGATTTATAATAAGAGTGGAGAGCCATTTTCCCAAGCCGGTTGAAAGGGCACCAAAAGGATGGGCAAGTACTGAAGCATGAAGGTGAGGAGAGATATGTGGGGAAAAGCAGTTCTCAGCGCTCCAAGTTCGAATACTGCCTTTGAAGCTTGCTTGTCTGAGGGGGTCACTCTACTGCCCTGACCTCAATTTCCTCATGGCTAGACTGAGGGAAGTAGATGAGATGATCTCTAAAATCCTTCTGGATCTGAAATTCTAATTTCCTGAAGTCCCTGCTGGATCTCTGATTCCAGGAGTTGGATTGACTTATGATAACCTCCAGAAACTCTTAGTACCACTGGTCCAGCAACATCCCATGTAAAAGATTCTGTGGTAGGAAACTAATTCACGATTTAAAAAATAAAGGACCATGGTGGTCTACTAAGGTTAACAGCTAAAGTCTCTGCTGACTAGACAGCAGAGAGGGTTCGGAGCATGCTCAGCTTGTTTATAACATCCTGTAGGAAGGAGGAACCCATTTCTCTCAGCTCCTACCCATGGTCCTGGGGTAGTTTTAAGATTGTTCCAATTGAATTATTTCAGGAAATAGCCTTCTTGGCTCAAGCCCTCACCAGGAAAAGATAAACACTGTCCAAGAAAAGCACCAAAAGGATGGACACCAGCAGGCTTCTTGAACCCCAAGCTGTGAAATCAGCAGTAGGGAAGAAAAAGATTTTTCCCTTTTTTCTCCTTTTCCTGAGCCAAGATTTTAGGGAACTGTGGCATCACTGTGAAGTTATGGACATGCCATCCATTTAAAACTTTGAAAAACTGTACTGGACTACTGCGACTCCAGAAGTTATAGTGGAATTTGTATTATCCAGGTTGGAGCCCGTGTAATTCCCAAGTTCACTTGGAAAAGACCAGAATTGGTTTCATACTGTTACCATTGTTTTGGACCCTGGCCACATATTAGAATCATGGGGAAGGGGCGCCTGGGTGGCTCAGTCAGTTAAGTGTCTGCCTTCAGCTCAGGTCGTGATTCGAGGGTTCTGGGATCAAGCCCCATGTTAGGCTCCCTGCTCAGTGGGGAGTCTGCTTCTCCTTCTGCCTCTGCCCCTCCTCCAGTTCACGCTCTCTCTCTTTCTCTCTCTCTCAAATAAATAAATAAAATCTTCAAAAAAAAAAAAAAACCCAAAAAGAATCATGTGGAGAGCTTTAAAAAGCAGCCAGCCATGCTGAAGCCCCATGCCAGGTCAATTATATCAGATGATCTGGGAAGTAGGGCCTAGGCACTGGGGGTGATGAGAGGCAAACTTGGAACTACAACCGTTGCACCCAAGGCAGAAAACCTGTATCTAATCTGTCCCCAGCTTCTAGATGAGAACCACCGATCTAGCCTAAGGAAAGAATGAAAACATAAGAATGGAGAAAGGTTTGCACCCCAAAGATGTTCACCTCTCAGCATTATATATAATTTGGTTAGGCCTCTCTTGTCCAAGCAATCTACTGCTTACTCATTTACAAAATGTGATGCAGACATTTTAAAAAGATGTTTAAAAATGCTTAATGAGGGGTGCCTGGGTGGTTCAGTTGGTTGAGTGTCTGACTCTTGGTTTTGGCTTGGGTCTTGGACTCATGATTATGGGATTGAGCCCTGTATCAGGCTCTGTGCTCAGCGGGGAGTCTGCTTGGGATTCTCTTCCTCTCTCGCCCCCTTTGCCCTTCTCCCTGCTCATGCATGTGTGCTCTCTCTCTCAAATAAAAAAAATAAATCTTTAAAAAAAACTCTTAATGAGTATGTGCACTAATGAGCAAACATGTGTATGCTGTGACTTTAAGTTACAGTTTTAGGATACAGCAGTTACATATTGGATATAAAAGACACAAACAACTAGAAAGTTCACAAAGAAATAACACTGGAAGGAAGTACACCGAAATGGTTATGTTTGGGTGTTAGGCCTTTAGATGACTTCCCTCCTATTTTCTGAATTTTTCAAGTTTTCTGTGATGATCATATATTACATTTATAATGGGAAAAGAAGTGAAAAGTTTACAAACTGAACCAAAAAAGTAAAGGAATGCCTGTCCATTAGAGAAAAGATGAGAAGTTTCTCTGAGGCACTGAATACAGCTCTAAAGCCAGCTAAGGCAAATGTACCTTCATCTTTCCTCTCCTTATCACGTCACATGGTTTGACACCAATGCCTGCTGACCAGGGGGAGTTCAGAATGAACAACTCCCCTAAGCCCTTAATAGCGCCCATAAAAAGAGTGGAGTCACTTACAAATTGCGGGTCTGATTCGGGAAAAACCACTGTATTGCTGAGACCCAGAAAACCCTTCAACAGCAAGGAGATATTTGGGCTGTCCTCCAAAACTCCATTTGTGTCTGGGACATTGAGGCAAAAAGCAAGTTTTCTGGATGAACAACCAGATCTGGATTCTACTCCCAGTTGCTTTGGTTAAGACAGACCCATTCTTATGAACCAAGGATCCACTCTTGCTTCTGGCCTTGAACACAGTTTGAATGGGGTGTTCGCTTCCAGCTGCTTCAACCCTTGGTTAGCCTAGAGAAACAGGAGCTGCTGGAATTGGTGTTCTTTCTGCCCACCAGTCTCGAGGACGCTGGGGACTGTGGCTATGGAATATCTATGATGGGCTCCACCTGTCTGTCTCTCTATACCACCCACCTACCTGTCAGGAGGGTCTGACTTCAGGGGCGTGGTAAGCACTAGGAGCCTTACCGGCTTTCCTCGTTTTCCTGGTCTTCCCCTGGGTCCTCTGGGTCCTGTAAACCCAGGCTCACCCTTTGGACCCATTTCACCCTGGAAAGAAGAAAGAGAAGCAAGAGAGGAATTAGGCATGGGGGAAGGCACATCTCTGCAGGTCCATCTAATCATCAGTCATGAGGGCAGTGCACTTGATCATTCTAGACCTCTTCCAACTGGCCAATGTGGGAGATTGGGAAAGTGATGAGGTCATGTGAAAGGTAGATAGGTTTTTCAAGTAAGTGGAAGGAAAGGAGGAGGTTACCCTGGGTGGGTTATTTATTATCTGCGAGAGACAGCTCCTGGGCAGCACACATTTTGGTGTGCCAAGTCACCATCCTAAACGGCCAAAGTAGGACATTCCTGCATGTCAGCCACATGTGTGCCTGTGACATGGCACACTGCCAGGGAAAAACGCTTTCTCTTTTAGTGGAAATTGTGTGTTGTATTTTGTTTGTTTATTGCACAAATTCCAATCAATGAGTTTTTGAATGACTGGACACAGTTTTGACAAATGTCATCTTTGGAAATTTTCTGCTCAGGTAATGACCTTTATTTAGGGTTATAAATTTCCCTACTCTTCTGTAGAAACTTGTTTGGTTCCAGCTCATTTTCATTTGAGTTAGATGAAAACTGTGGGGAAAAATGTTCCAGACATATAACCACATGCTCAATGTAATGATTGTAAAAGGCAGGAAAAGCAATGTCAACAATACTCTTAATTGAAAAGCTCTACTCTGAGCTATCAGAACCAGAAGCACCAATTGCAGAATTCCATAGTTTCAGGCCAACTTTTGTCAAACCCATTTCTCCATCATAGTTTCTCTCCTTCCCCGTGTTCTTCTAGGATTCCAGGGCCACCTGCTGTTTTGGGTCAGGGACCCCACAGAGCATCATTCCTGCCTCCAGTTATCCCTCTGGAGCCCAGAATGCACCACCAGCAAGTTAAGTTTAAAAGAGCAACCATGAGAGTTTCTGTTAGTCAGCAGCTAGTGTCCATGAAAAGCTACCCCAGGCACTCAGAGAGAACAATAAACACCCAGAAGGCTCTCCACGTGGAAGTCAGAGGAAGTATAATACAGTGCACACTAATACAGAGTAAGGATGAAGCATAAACTCTGAAATTATGTCACTTGGCCAATGTAACAAATTTGTCCCTACCCAAGCCACTAACATCTTGCCACACCAAGAACTGTTCTTAAACCTGTGCTTTCTTTCCAGCCTGTCATGTCCTCCATCATCTAGGCAGTGGGAAAGTGTGGGAGGATAACATGGATTCTATGTTGTACAATTTTCCTTGGCTGTTTAGAGGGGGTCATGGGGTATTTTGTCTGGCTTGGAGAAAACAGCCGCATAAATGGTATAAGTGGTTTTGTTTTCTTTTTTTGTTTGTTTGTTTTTTTAAAGATTTTATTTATTTATTTGACAGACAGAGATCACAAGTAGGCAGAGAGGCAGGCAGAGAGAGAGAGAGAGAGAAGAGAGGAAGCAGGCTCCTCGCGGAGCAGAGAGCCAGAAGAGGGGCTTGATCCCAGGACCCTGAGATCATGACCTGAGCTGAAGGCAGAGGCTTTAACCTCCTGAGCCACCCAGGCGCTCCTCATTTTTTGTTTCTTTTTAAAGATTGGCAGAAGGAAGTGTGGCCCCTCTCTTCATCAACTGGAAGCAGCCAGTAAGTTCTTGATCTAATTTCTAAGACCTAATTATCGTTATCATATCATCTTTGTCTTAAAACAGCCTGCTGTGAAAGGGAAAGAGAACTCTAGATGGCAAATCTAGTAAACGGTGCAGAGGCCAAAGATGTTGTCATCCTTAATTCCACATTAATTTATTATTCTTTGATGTTCACTCTTGCACTGAATGAAAACCTAGCCTAAATATTTTTTAATCAAATTATTTTTTTCCCTTTTAATGTTTCCTTTAACTTGCTTATGCAATTATTTATTTTTAACCCAACATTCCAGCTAGGGAATAACAGGAACAGAGTTTTTGACAGCTTAAGACAGTGATAAATAGTAATAAGAGATGACTGAAATTGTTTAAATATGCTCTCCTGGCTGGAGGTCAGATAAAAATTGTTTATTTGAGTTTGGAAAAGAAAACTTTAAGGTAAACTTGAAAAAACCACTAGGATTCTAAGAAAGCATGCATTTGCATGTTTGAAGAATACTATGCTCTGAGGCTTAGGAAAAATGACACCCACCAAGGTCAATGGCTTTCAGCGTGAGGAACCACCATTAAAACGTTAGATAAAGGAGTTTTCAGTGGCCAGTTAGGTATGCTCTCACGCTCTCTCTTTATCCTGACACCTCCTCTCACCAACCCCCCATTCTTCCCCAGGCCCTAACCCTACATAGAAGTTTCCAGAAATCTGCCAGTCCATTGCTACTTTCATAATTTTTGTCATATCAGGACACCACTCTATTGTTAGTTGCTAGATATTTTTTCTTTAAGTCAACTGAATGAACTCCATTTTTAGCAAGCATTGTTCCCAGCAAGATATCCATGAAATTCCACTAAATACTTAACTGTTTAAATAAAAAGATTAACCATCAAATGAAAAAAACTTTTGCTGTCACCCAGCTAAAATAACTCTGTGTACTGCTCTCAAAGAAGGTCTGAGTTGACTGTCACCAGCAATGGCCATAGGCCAAAGATGCCTGTGCCTCACGCTGGGACCCTTGATCATGACAGCTCAGATCTGATCCCTCTGTCATGATGCCTTCTGCTTCTGAACATTACCATGGCCCTCCAACAGTCAGGAAGACATAGAAAGCCCTCTCTACCCGGATGGTGGGTCTTCTCCCTCCCACTGAACTGGAGGGTGGTCTCAGACCATACTGGCACTCTCTCTCATCAATGTGCACGGCAACTTTCTCCTCTTCCAAACCAGAACCTTCCATGGCAAAACCCACTTTCTCTCTGGACAGAGAGGCAGAGCTCTTTGTGTAGTGTGTAGAAAGTCTGATTTTTTTTTTTTTTTTTTTTTTTTTTTTTTTTTTTTTTACCAAGGCCTATTTTTACTTATAGTACTTACTTTCTGCCCCAGCATTCCAGGAAATCCTGGGAAACCCTGTGAAGAGAGCAACACACAGAGTGATTCTCTCTGAGAGAGGGCCCAAGAGAGTTGTGGAAGAGTGTGCTTGGCCATTTTCAAGATAAGAGCCCAGTCAGCCAGTCAGCCAGCCAGCCAGTAAGCTGGACAGCCCACAAGGGGCTACGACTTCGTTGTAGTTTATCATTCTATGCAAAGGCCATTACCTTTTCTCCTTTGGGACCCAAGTCACCTCTTTCACCTCTGGATCCCTAGGAGGAAACCACAGAGAGTCAGAGTTAATACGTGGGAGGGAAAATTGGAGCATTTCACAATGAAAGCTCCCTAAGCCAACACCCTCGTTTTACAGGCCAAGAAGTAGGCTCAGAGTTTAGGTGACTTGCCCAAGGAAGGAACGCTTTGTGATCTACCTTTTATTTGGACCACAAAGACCTTTTGCTTTAATAAAAGACAACTCACAGAAAATTCTGTGTCCCAGATCCTCTCTCATCTTGTAGGAAATTGGTCCCCAGGTTCTGGCTGGGTTTTTTATTTGGTTTGGTTTGGTTTTTGGCAGATGAGAAGGTTGTGTGATGGAAGCTTAAAGACACATGTCAGCCATCATCCTCCAGTATCCCTCAAGCAAGCAATGTTCCCTCTCCACCAGGCACAACTTTCAACTGCTCTTCTGCCCTACTTCCACTGGAGCTCTTCCCTTGCCCACATGCCCTGCCTCAGGAGACCCCTCCCTGCTCTCTCAGCCCAATGACAAAGGCTGTGGGAATATCTAGGAATGGTCACTATAGTCACTAACTTAAGAGAAACCTGGGCCTGTCCTCTGCTCATCATTGGCCCTAGAGCCAATAGCCCAGGCCAGGTTCTGGGAAGCCATCAGAGACAAACACTAACCTTTTCCCCTCTGGATCCAGGGTAGCCCTAAAAGAAAGCAAAAGGTGCATTTAGGATCAGCTCTATAGGACCTTTGGGTTTGATGCAAGAGTAGAAGGAATCCCTGAATGTGACGGTGAGGTGTGTCCCCACCTCGTGCTGCAAGTTTTAGTGGGGGTTTTAACAGTAAACACAAAGATGTCCCTGAGGGTTATGTTTCTCCCAGGCCTAAAAAGAACATTGTTTTTCTTACTCACAAAAGCCTGAACAAGGTTTCCATCTGCTTTGTTGTTTCAGGAGCTTGACTCTCCCTGCCCAGGAGAACAGCAGGAAAGACATCTCTATGCCTCGTGTCCCAGGGATGCTGTCCCCTAAAGGGCTGGTAAAGGCAAGCACTCTGGTGCTGGGCTTTCCAATATCTCTGATGTTCCCCACACCTGGGACGGCAGCCCCACCCAGTCCCCATCTTTGTGGAGAGCAGCTATTCCAGAACCTTAGAGAGAAGACCTGGGAATGTCCACCTGGACCAACACACTGACCTTGGAGCCCATTGGTCCTCTTGACCCTGGCAAGCCCATCATACCCAGGTCACCTTTTTCACCCTGTGAAGAAGGGAAAAAGGACCTACAGTGACTTTTACTGGAGAATCATGGGCAGGATTAGGATGGAACAAGGGCCATCAGGGCTGGCTGGTGAATCTGAGGACCCCACATCCTCCCTTGTTCACTCCCAGGGGTTCAAGGCTGCACTTCATCCTGGTATTTGAGATTAAACATAAAATGAAATTGCCCCAGGGAGAGCAGATCTCCAAACTAAATGCTAAAATGCTATAAATGCTCCCTCTGTTCTGAGTGGCTTGTGAGAGGGTGGGGAAAGAGCTTGGGGGCACTGGGGCCTCAAAGCCTAAGTGTCAGCACCCCTGAAAACTTCACCGGCTTTGTTCTTTGCAGACGGACGGCCTTTCAGGCATTTCCATATACTTTCACTCTAGGTTTGCAGCCAAATAGAGAGAACATCAGCCTCTGAGCTTGCATTACTGAGACAGGGGACTAAGACTCATGGGTAGGCTCTGAACCGTCTGTGCTAAAAATTCCATACCAGGGCTAAAAAGTAGAAATATAAGATACTTAAACTTAATTTAGAATTTTTTTAGAAGTCACATTAAAACAGGTGAAATTAACTTTAATAACATTTTGTTTGATCTGATTATCATTTCAAGCATATAATCACTATAAAATTAAAAAGGTATTTTACATTCTGTTTTTCATAATAAATATTTGAAATCTGTTGTGTATTTTACATTTAAATCACATCTCAGTTCAGGCATTAAATTTTCATCCAAAATATTTGATCTTTATTAAGATTTCCTTGGGACTTTTCCTAAGAGGGCTGGGAACACAGTTTTCTACTCCCATAATAAATATAGCTGGTAAGTGAATCAGAGCCTATAGACATTCGCCTGCCCATCCCTGATTTCTACAGGTCAAGTCTGCACCCAACAGTCTGTGACCAAAGTGAGAAGAATACAAACAAAGGCACGGATGTGGATGTGTCAGCTTCCCATAATCTGTCTGAAGAATGGGATTTCATTGGCATTAGGCAATCCCTGTCTAAATGTAGGACTCCAGTTTTTCCAGCAGGTCAGTGCCCATCCCTTAACCCCCAGTATCCTGCCAACAGCTTTCCAGACACAAGCCCCTCTTGTGAACATCTCAGGGAAACCAAAGAACTGCATGCTAACTCTGAGGACAAAAGAGAACCAGGGCCCCTGTGAGAGAGTGGAGCAGCCCCTCATTTCCGCCCCCAACAGGCACAGAGCTATTGGAGAGACCAAGACCTTGTAGTCCAAGTGAAGGAGAAAGTATTTGGGGACCTCTGGGCAGTGCTCATCTTCTATTCTCCTTCCTCCAAAGGAAATGAGTTTCACTATGTGCCAAAGGCCAAGAAGGCTGATATTTTCTTCCCTCATGTTCTGATACCACATGAGCCCCAAGACTGTACCAAACTTACCCTGGGTCCTTCAGGGCCGACTGGCCCAGGCATGCCAGGAACACCCGGGGAGCCGGGTCTACCCTTCAAAAGTGAACAACAAAAGTCAGGACGACTGGGTTTGTTTCCCTCCTTCCAGGAAATGAGATTTGTTTGGTGGGCTCAAAGGGAACTGTGGGGTCCCTAAACATGGCCTCTGGGTTCCTCATCCCCACCCTCCAAAGACTGGTAGCCTCGGAAGTTGTGTCACATAGATGTAAGTTCAAGTCCTCGGTATCACATTATGTCAACACAGAAGATCTTATTCTATCCAAGAAATGGAAGGTGGGGGGAAAAAGGAAGGTGGTAGAGAAGGGATTCTAAACTTCTTGGCTTTTTGATCTTTATCACTCCACCCATCCAAATGTTCCTTGCATTGCAATAGGTTCTTCCCAAGGATACAGTGTAGAATGGGATAGGATTTTGTTTGGGGTGCACTGGCATATGCTGTTGGTACTCCCCCAAAAGCTTTTCCCCTTGCTCGCTGTGTCCATTCCCCAGGGACTCTCTGCCTTGCTGCCACAAGTCACGCCTGCAACCTGCAACTGCGGAATTTGCCCATGGGCAATTTGGGATCCCCAACAATTTATGTACCTGTTCTCCCTGCAGCCAAAAGCCCAACTCCCTTACCTCAAGGCAGGACAAACTGCCCTAGGAATGAGGCTGAAGGTGGACTTCTTGTGACACCGTGCCCAGGTTGGGCTTCTTCCCCTGCACCACCCAACTGCCCTTCCCCTCAGGATCCACCCGAGAGAGCGCCCATAAGTCATTCACTTGCACATGTGACCTCCACCTCTGCTTCTAGGGAAACCAGCCTCAGCCAGAAGCTATGGAAGAGCTAGCCTTAGAAGAGAAAGAGGGAGCAGGGACTTGGGGTCCATCTCAACCTCTGCACTCATTGGCTAATTTCACAGCTAGCCTAGCCAGACACGTGGAAGGCTCAATCCCTAAACCAGAGATCACAAATGCTGGCATGTGTACTGGTTTCTCCTCTCGCCGTCCATGTTCATGGCAGATGTCACTGATCTATCAGGGTCCTCGTTAGTTCTAAGCATGGAGACCATCCCAGCATCCTTTGCAGCCCAGCACTTCAGATATCCACGGTGCCTACCCTGGAGCTATGAGTTGAGCCCTGGGGGAATGAAATTTTGCTTTGCGAAGGTCTGTTTGAGGCTTTTGTTGATAGTGAAACCATTTGAGTAAAACATTCAACCAGAAAAATAGTAATTTATGTTTAGAATTATAAGCATCTTTTCTGGCCAAAGTCTTGCCCCTTCTGCTATCTCTGAGACCACAGGTTCAGTACCAACATCCATTGACCCCAGGGAATGGCTGCTGGTTTACTCTTTCCTGACATGAATGAGAATCTTGATGACATGTGTTTGCTTCACTCAGAGTGCCCGTGACCTTAAGTGACTCCCATTTATTTCAGCTGGGCCGAAAGGCAAAAGACATTTGTTTCTGTTTTGTATTTTGTTCCAGTATAACTAAATAGACAGTGAGAGTCATTTTGTGCCACAGCTTGGGGTGGAGGGTTTCTCTAATGGGTGGCAGGATGAGATGGTCTGAGGTTGGGGAAATTTGGCCCGACTTGGCAGCCCCTGGGAGAAGTCCAAATGTCTGGTAGTAGCAGGCTTGAGCTAGCAAAAGAACAAGCAGAAAGAGCCCACTGTCATCCTCAGAATGGCAGTGTGATCATTGTCCGCCTGGGAACTGGGGCCCAAGGAAGTGCATTGCTGGTCCCCCCTACCCCTAGGTGTGCATACAACACCCCCCCAACCCCCGCAAAGCACAGTTGCCCATATAATGCTGACAGAACAGCATGGACCATACCTTCCTTCCTGGTAGGCCAAGCTCCCCCTGTGGATGGAGAAGACAGGTAAGCAGAGGCTGCTTTGGAAGAGAAGTTCTGGAAGCACAGAGCTTAGTAGGGCTGATGGCTGGGCATGACCATGTGGCTTGGTTGCTTGGCCGCTCACAGCACCCCTGCCATGTCAGTGGGCCAAGCTGAAACACACCAGTGGGATCTCACACCTGTAGCAGCAGCCCCATCATTATGGAGCCCATCCTCATGCACTAAGGCAGAATTAGCACATGCTTTGAAATCTCAACCAGAAAATTCTCAGTGGCATCCCCAGGATACAGGCTGGAATTACCAAGGAGAGGCGGACTGAAGAAAATAGAGGCTCATACCTTTTCTCCCTTTGGTCCTATCTTGCCAGGAAGTCCCGGTGGACCCTATACCATCAAGACAAGAAATGAAAGAAATAAATAAGGACAGTGGGTGAGGGAGGCAGGGCTGGGAGGGAGGCCTTTAGTGCACTGGAATCCTCCAGCAGTTTGGTTTCCTGGGCAGACTCAGGGCTCCAAGGACCCCATGAAGGACCCTCTTGTGTCCTCCAACCCAGTCTCCCTGTCATCTTCCAGCTTTCTCTATGTTTCCAGTGGTGCCATGGTTACAACTAAAGAAATGCTGTTTGCTGAAAGCAAGAGGCTTCACGGCCTCTCTTATCTTTTTAGCTGCCTTCACCAACTTTTCCTGGGGCCCCGATAAGGGTGACATTCTGCTTTGCACACAGGAAAGCCAACTTAGAAATTCCTGTGCTGGCTCTATGGGCACCAGGTGCAGCGAAAGCCTTCCTTGAGATGTTAAGAACGTGGGCAATGGTGCATTTTTGTCCCACTGCCCAGCCACGGGAGTGGGGCTGATTCCAGCTCAGGGATTCTAGCACCCACTACACTAAGCTTGGCACACCCCCAGCCAGAATGTAGCTACTTTGTGCTCACATGGTCTACGAAATGCTCAGCTGGCTAACTGCTTTCCAAATTCCCTAGTACAGCAGAGAGGACATCCATCAACCCCCAGCCGGTCACTACTTCATCCCCAAGATCTACAGGTGGACATGCCTAACGCAAAGCCTGTTTGAAATCTGATTCCTATGAGACTTGTACAAATACCAAACAGCCCCCTCAGCAGCTCCCACACCTATCACCTGAGACTCCCTGAGGATCTTTTGAAAATCCCAAAGGCCATGGCACACCCCAGATCAATTCCATCACAAGTGCAAGGAGAGGGGCGCAGACATCAGAGATTTTTGAAGTTCCCAGGGGATTCGAATGAATAGATAAGTTTGGGAACCACCCTCTTGGTTTATTCTCCTGTCTGGGGGAAGGGAGGTAAGTAGGGAGAGTTATTTCCTTTCCTTTCTTACTCTTCCCCTTCTCTCCCTCCCCTCCCCCATCTCACCACTTCTTTCAACCTCCCTTTCAACCTTTTCCTCCTCCCTCCTTCTCTCTCTCCCCACTCCTCCTGGTCTGGGCATCCTTGTGTGGAAAGATGGCTTCCTGGGAGGGTGATCTCACCACCCTCCCTCCCCAGCCCCCCAACCCAGGGACCCACTGAGGACTGCACCAGCCCCCCCATCTAACCCTAGGTGCTGCACCCGTTCACTTCAGAGCTGTGTGGGCCAGGCTGGGTGGATAGTGCAAGGTGCAGGGTATACAAATCCTCAAGGATCAAAGCCTGGGGGGGCACCAGTGTTTCCAGAAAGTGTGACTCAGCGGGGCAGAAGTTCCCTGCTCCTCCAAAGCCCGGGAGCCCAGGGTGACAGAGGGCCCCAGGACCATGCCCATGCCAGGCAGGATGAGTGAATACTCTTCCATTCCCTCATTTCTTATTATCAGGCCATTGTGCTCTGGCTCAGAGCTTCTCAAGCTGCGATGTGCAGGAAATTCAATAGGGGGTCTTGTTAAAATGCAGATTCTGATAGTAGGGGTGTGTGTGTGAAGCTCCCAGATGATGCCAATGCATCTGGTGATCTCACTTTACTTGGGAACAGCATTTTATGCTGTGTTCTAAGGCAACAGAGGGGGCTACAAATCCAGTCCCCGCCACCCCAGCTGGGCGGCACATTCTCCGCAGGACCCAAAGGGATTGCACGAGGGTCCAGATGTGCAAGCAGGGCTGGAGAGCTCCTGGTGTGAAGTGAGCAAAGAATCCCCCTTTCGTTCCCATCCCCTGTGGTCCTCACTGCACTGAGATGGGGTGGAGTTTGCCAGAGGAAGGAAGATGGAGACCCACAGCAGAGGTGCCTCTCAGGGCCCATCCTGCCTTTCTGCAAACTTCCCAGCCCCTCTGTGGCAGCCTCTGGACAATACTGGGTCCCAAGTCCTGTTTATATTGCATTTGACAAATGTTTATGGTAAGTTTATGACAACCCGTGCCCTGGTGTGAGTTGGGCACAATGTGTGAACAAGATAGGTGATGTCCTTGCTCTCAAGACCAGGGCTGGGCCAACCGTCTCTGTTAAGAGGCAGATAGCAAATTTCATAGACTCTGCCTCGGATACAGTATCTCTGTCACAACCACTTACCTCTGCTCTGGCGGCACAAAGGCAGCCCGAGACGGTACAACTTTGATTACATAAACAGACGGCCACCAGGACCTGTAGGCCACAGTTGGTCAGTCCTTGCCAGAGAGCTTGTATTTTACAAAGGGAAGACCAAAGAGGCCAAGGACAATAACAAAACCAATAAGAACACTATAACAAGATGAGAAAATGATGCAGAGAATTACAACAAGCCATCGGGACGGAAAGGGATGGGGAAGTCTACTCCAGTGGTTGAGGAAGGCGTCTCTAAGGTAAAAATCAGAAGGAAGAACATTCCACACAGCCAGGGCCACAAGCGCAAAGACGCTAAGGCTGGAATGAGCTCGACATGCATCAGGACCCAGGAGATGCTCGTCAGCTGGGCAATGTTGGTGGTCTGAGCTGATGCAGGAGATACAGGCAGGGTCGTCCGGGGGACGGGAGGCTCTGGGACCCAGGGTGAGGAGTTTGGTGCTTAGTGTCCCATGATGGGAAGCCACAGGAAGGAAGGAAGGGGTGACAGAATTTGGAAGGCACCTGGGCAACTGACGGCTGCTTGTACCCTCTTTCCCCATCCCATGGCAGGCCCTAAGCCCCAGCCAGGGGTGTTCCTTCTTGATGGACCCCTGCTCCCAGGTAGGCCAGAGGAGCCAGGGTCTGTGAGACAGGGTCTCTGGAGGGTACTCCTGTTTGCCTAGAAAATCCTTTCTCTAACATTGTGCCTGTTCCTCACACTGCCCTTAGCTTCAGTGGGGAGTGGTGGGCTGCCTGGCTGTAGGATCTGGGGGCCAAATGAAGTTCAGGGTAACAAGTTCCCCATCACCTCCACTTTCCTGCACCAAATGCAGGCACTTCTCAGGCTACTGCAAGGGTCAATGGTCACAGAAGGAACAACCCAGTGTCACCAAGTGTTTGATGGTAATTACAGTAACCATCACATCCACGTAGGCGGCCGCTCGCTTGGACCCTCACCACCACCAATATCCAGTACTGCAGGGGTAATTGTTATCCCCATTGCAGAGAGGAGGCAATCGAGGCTGTGAGGCCAAAATTCACCCAGAGAGGAAAACTCAGTGTGCTATCCACATGGCCCTGGAGCTGGAGGGGAGCTAGAGAAGGAAAAACAGGGGCGTCTGGGTGGCTCAGTTGGTTAGGCGTCTGCCTTCGCCGCAGGTCATGATCCCAGGGTCCTGCTGAGCAGTGAGTCCTTTTCTCCCTCTGCCTACCACTTCCCCTGCTTGTGCTCTCTCTCTCTCTGACAAATAAATAAATAAATAAATAAATAAAATCTTCTAAAAGAGAGAGAGAGAAGGAAAAACAGTGCCCATATCACTTTAAAAGGGGCAGTGCCAAGAGACTCTTTCCAGCAGGCTTCCCTGCTCTGAACAGAAGACAGCAGGAGAGGATCTGGTGGAATGCACCAACCTGGGGGCCAGGCGGCCCAGGGGAGCCGAGCGATCCTTGCGCGCATGAGGACGGCGTAGTCTCCAGTTCCAGGATAAGATTCTTCATGTCTGGGGAGAGAAGCTTCCATGCAAAGCAACACATGGTGATGGGTCAGACTTGGGGCACAGAAGAAGGGTAACCACCCTGGACACAGACCTGCTCCCCAGTCCAGTCCTTAAGGCTGGTGGTTCCCTGACACCCCAAAGGGTGTCCCAAGAAGAGACCTTCTGGGCCCCAAGTTCCTGTTCTCTCTTGAGACATACCTGGCTTGAATGGATTATAGAGATAGAATAGCCACTTTGGATGGAGTTAGGAAGCTCATTTTCAGGGGCCTTTATCCAATGTCTAGGACAGCACTGTCCGACAGAAATATAAGGGAAGCCACCAGTGCAAGCCACATATGTAGTTTTAAAGTTTCTGGTAGCCACATAAAGAAAGGTAAAAAGAAAGAAGTGAAATTAATTTCAATAATATATTTAACCCAGTATGCCCCAAATATTATCATTTCAACATACATTCGATATTTAAAAATTACTAATGAGTCATTTTACATTCTTTTTTCATACTAAGTCTTCAAAATTCAGTGTGTATTATATACGGACAGCACATCCCAACTGGAACGAACTGCATTAAAAGTGTTTAAGTCACGTATGGCTAGTGGCTCCTGCACTGGGCAGTACATATCTTAGAATTTCTGGAAAAATTTGAGAATCCCAAGTCCTTAGGATATCCTGGCCCGTTGTCTTCTAGCTCAGCTTCCCAAATCCTGCTCTTTCCCTCTTTCCAAATTCTGTTCCCTCTCACACCTCAGTATGGCTACCGAGGAACCATTTCCCATGTCCCCTCACAGAAACAGCCTACATTCAATACGGGCGGTGGAAGGGAATTTCATAAGCACTTGGGAAGAAAGGAGAAATTCCGTATCTGAGCAGCTGAAAGAAGCCTCCAAAGTTCTAAATTTACCTCATTGGTCTCAGGAAGACAGGACACTGTGCCAAATCCAATTTCCTGCTGAGAAGAATCTCCCTCTATAACTTATTTAAGACAATGGGAGAAGGGACACACACCAGAAACTGCAAAATGCCCATCCTAGGGGTCAGCCTGCTGCGTGAGAGTGAAAGGCTGGATCCCTCAAGAATTCTCTGGAGGCCGCTCACCTCAAGTGGGGGGACAGGAGGGGCTGTGCAGTGGGCACTAGGGAGCCTGCATTTCTAAGGTACTCACCAGACTTCGGCTCCCTCTGAAGAAAGGTGGTGGGAAGAGTGGTGGGGGAGGGGGCGTCAGGAGGCAGCATGCTCTGTGGCCACCACGCTTCTTCTGATCCAGGCCGGGAAGAGCTGTGCAGAGAAAACTGCTGCTCATTAGCGTGGGGGCACTGCTGGGGCCTCTGTCATGCCCACGGGACCCTGGAGAGACCCAGGTGGACACGCCAGATTTCTGAATCCGATTTCTAACCCGCTAGCTGTGAGCACACCTTCTGTTTGCTACTTGATGGAACCCTCCCCAGCCTTCGCTGAATGGGGGTGGTTAATAAACAAGCAGATGGTATGGACCCTGTGATCATTAGAAGCCTGTTTCTCCCTCTTCAGGGACGGACTTGTCATTTTGTAGATGTGACAAGGAAGGCAAAGTTCAGACTTATGATGCACTTCTAACAGCTGAGGAGAAGGAAGTGCTTGGTAATTATCTCGACAGTGGGCTCAGAGGGAATTGGTCAGGGAGCCGGCTGCCAGGGCCCGAGGTGCCGTTGATTATAAGAGACCCAGAGCCCTGACTTAAAACATCTATTTGACTCTAGACACACACAGTTGGTGTCACATGGGGACTAAAGAGTTTACAGTCTAGTGACTCAATACATGGGTGTGAGGAGATGAAAGGAGGGCCCTGGACCCCTGAGAGCTTTATGGAACGTAGGGTCTTGCCCTTGTTCAATGCTAGTGTGTGCTCAATGTTGAAGCATACCTTACAGAAAGGATGCAGGCTATGAGTCTACGGCCCAACAGACTCCTGCAAAGGAACACAGCCTGGAAACACATCCCCAGATCAAAACACACAATCACTCCCCAGCATCCACAAGCCCCATCAGCTCCTGCCTGATCTCTGCGCTCCTCCCTCTTCAGCATCCTGACTTATAACCCCAGGGAGTCACTGTATCTACTCTGGAACTTTTTATAAAGGGAATCAGACAATACGAACTCCTGTGTTTTGTTTCTTTTGCTCAACATAGCGTTTGCGGGGGTCATTCGTTTGCTGCTTGTGGCTGTTGATGTGGACTAGAGTTCCATCGTGTGACTACACCACAATCTACTTATCCAATCCACAGCTGCTGAACATCGGACTGGTAGCTGCTACATATGCCACCAGAATGGCTAAACTGAAAATGACAGAAAATAACAAATGTTGGCAAGACCGTGGAACAAACAGAACTCATACATTGGCCAAGGGGAGTGTAAGTTGGTTCAACCTCCTTGGAAAACTGCTTGGTATTGTCTCCTGGATACAGGTATCCCCAACAGCCCAGCAATGTCACTCCTAGGTATTTACCAACAGATAAGTGGGTATATGTTCACTGAAACACACGTACTAGAATATTCACAGCAGTAATGCCCATAATTGCCACCAGCTGTCACCTTACAGTTCCCAGTTTGGGTCTCATGATGGTACCCTCACCTCTACCCCTTCATCAAACCTCTGGTCTCACAGAAACAGGCAGGTCACTTTACCACATTTCTCTCGGTTCTGAACCCAGTTTCAGTCTTATCTCTTTGGGGCCCATGCTTGCCTCCTGTTTTCACCCTGGGCTCTAGGACCTGGCTATGGACATCAGGCAGCTGGTTGGTGCTCCTCAGGAATGGCTGCTCCGTGCACCACCCCCCCACACTCACTCCCCAGTGGTGGAGCATTCCACGAGCCTGTGCCAGTGGCCCTCGGCCCTCCCCACCCCAGTGCCTCCTTTTGTAAGAAATATTTGGTGAAGACCCTTTCATTGTCCTGAAATGCAATTCATAAAAAAATATAACAAACACACACAATTTAAACAATCAATACAGTCCTGCAGCAGCCAGAGGTGGGGGTGGCGTGGCCGGGCCAGGGAAGCAGTGAGGACAAAAAGGAAGGGACGGATGCAAACATTACTGAGGAGGAAGAAACAGAAGGCGGGGCAATGTGTCACAGGAGCATAAGAGGAGGGAGAGTCAAGGATGGTTTCGAGGTTGCAGGGACCTGGGACCACAGTGATCAGAGTAGGAGATGGAAAAGTCAGAGGAGGCACTGATTTGTGGGGAAAGCTGTCAAATTTGGTGTTAAACATTTGTTCATTGAAGCACATGCTTTGCCAGGCCTGGACCAGGCTGTGGTGGGCGGGGGTAGGGGGGTGGGTGAGTGCAGAAAGATGCCTGACTGGTGCTCCTGACCCGCAGACAGCAAGGCCTGTGGAACTGGAATGGCTGCCAAGGCCCTTCTGCGCATATCCCACTCATCCCCTGCACCCAGACCTAGCCTAATCCTGGAGACTCTTACTCATTCATCAAGAACTGTCAAGTGCTGCCTCCACCAGGAAGCTTTCCTTGACTTCCCAGGCCAAGGTTGAGAGTTCTGCCATGTTTTTCTCTGGGTTTACCCCCATGTTCACTATTACCTGTGGGATGAAACAGTTCCTTGTCTCTCACTCACTACAGTGCTTTCTGAGAGGATGGGAGCCAGTTTTTAATCCCCAGGTTCTAGCCCAGTACCTGACATACACTAGACATTCCACAAATGCTTGCTGAATTCATAATAATAACTTTTCAAAAACCCAACTACTTACTACATGCTTGCTTAGGCACCACTGAAGTAAGTGCTTCAGACACTTACTTCAGTGCAAATTCACAGCAACCCTGAGAGTTTATGCTATTGTCATCATCCCCACTTTATAGATCAGTTAACTGAGACCAGGAGGTGAAGCAACTTGCCCAAGGTCATACAACCGGCAGCCTGTTTCTAGGGTTCTTCCTCTTGATCTCCACACACCTCCATATGTGGGTGGAAATACAAGTCAGGAGCTTGGAAGAAGGCAAGGGGCTCCCATAACAACTACCTGAAATATATAGTATCGAGGGCTTCCAACCCAACAGCATCAGGAGGACACGTGTAGTTGCACAAAACTGGCCCTACTGACTCATTGTGAGGGAGGACGCACCCCAGAGGACTGTGCAGTATCTCATAAGAAGGTGTTAGAAAGGATTTGTCCTGGGAGTTGGGCATTCACTATATGATGCTGGGAGAGACTCTTGAGGAAGCCAAGTCTGGCTTCGCTCTGGACTGGATGCAGTTGGGAAGCGAGAGTTAGTATGTAACTACCTTGATTCTTATCCAGAAAAAGAGAAGAGCACAGGGAGACCGAAGCTGTGGGTAGTAAAGCAGCAGTATTCACTCATATTAGCAAGGACGAAGGGATGGCTGGCCATTTTTCTGGTTGGATGGTGGTCTTTTGTGTCTTATACGGTGACACAGTGGCCTTGTTTTTAACTTGGGTCATCACCGTCCCAGACTGGCCTTTGTCTGATGCTGTTCTATGAAATGGCTTTCATTCAACAAAACACCATGGCCTAGTGGTGAGAGGCAGATCCATTCTATCTGTCACGGGCTGCTTTTTCTTTCTTAGGGGGAAAAATACAACAGCTATATTGTTATAAGACTTGACATCAATGCCAATCACACTCCTCTTCAAATTCCTTCAAGTGTCTTTCCTGGCGTGTTGAGTAAGCTGGGACGGGCAGCTTCCATTGCGCATCCCTGCCCTGGGTGGGTGGTGAAGGTGGCCAGAACCCTCTCAACGGCCCCCAGCGGCACTTTCTCCTTCGCTGCTCTTTGGCCTCAGCAGACAGCTAAGGGCTGAGGCTGCGGTTCTCTGCAAAGCCTCTGCTTGCCAGGAGCACCTGAGAGCCTGGCATTCACATGGCTAATGTGCACCATTGATCTTTCCAGACCATATATGGCCTCCCTTTACCCCACATTCTCTGTGGTCTTCCTGGATGAGAGACCCTGAATCATTTAAAGCCATTCTCTTCTTTCTTCCTGGAAACTGGAGAACTCTTCGTTGAACACAAATTATCAGTTGCTTTTCCCGCCGAGGCATCTGCATTGGTCACCTCTCCCCATTCCTCCTCGCCCTTTCCCCCTTGACCTTGACTTCATTTCAGCAGGTGAAGAGCATCTATTTCTGCCCACCACCCCCCCGACTCCCTGGAGATGTTTGTTTTTAGCACAGTCTAGTTTATTTACGGCTCATTCCAGCTCAGAGTATTTCCATCAGGTGGATGTGCTCGGGAACAGCTCCCGTCAACTAAGCCAGGACTTCACATGTCTATTTTGGTGTCATCCGAATGGCCTGCAGGTCTCACTCAGGACTAGGCTGCCTCCATGGAATCATGTCTAAGCCCAGGGTCCAGCTTGGAAAAGCCCCAGCGGGCTCTGTGGTAATGGAAACAACCACATATGCGTGAACACGGGGCCGGCAGGAGCCTGGGTGTGCCGCGTGGCTCAGGCCCAGGCAGCTGCCTTGGAAATGCCAACTCCCAAGGAATTTCAGGACCACTTGCCCTCACTTAAAGACACTGAAGTCATACTGTATGTGACTGCTGCAGCGCCCGTTCCTGGGGAGAAATAAGGCTGGGTCTAATGCAGACCTGTGGCGAATGTTGGATTTTTGTTTTCGTTTCTGTTTTGTCTACCATTGTAGATGCCACCTTTGCCCTTTGCCCTCAATACCCACTTGACTCTGGGGCACTTGGAAAGTGTGGTTCACTTGAACTTACTCCTGGAAATACAGGGACTTGGATCAAAGAGTATGAGTCTGGGGACAAGTGACCCTCTGACCAGTTACGACTCATTTCTGAGACACAGGTTCCTTTCCTACACCCTAAGGAGTTTGGCCCAAATCATCTCCACATTCTGTTTTCGTGCATACGACACCAGGATCACCACTCCATCTGCCTGCACCTCCCACTCACGAGACCAGCACCCCCATAGTGTATGAGAGACAGCCTTTCTGTTTCTGCCTCCCGTTTTTGCATTGCCTACACCCTGCCCAATCAAGCAAATGTGTGCCAAGAAGCCACCCAAATCACCTAAGCCTCGTGCCTTTGTAGGGTAGGAAAATTCTAGGTGCAGCCGTCTGCTAACTATTCTGCACTTTGTCCCAAAGTTGGGGGAGTGCCCGACTTCTTCCTTCTGCCTCCTCCCACTCTGGGGCCTTTCCCTCTCTGTTGGAACTTGCACCAGAAGAATGAGAAGAGAGAAGAGGTGAAGGGCACGTGCTCCAAGTGGCACCGAGTGTCCTGACCATGAGCCAGATGTC